GCCTGCTTGTTTGCTTCTATGTATTCAGCTTGTGCTTGAATTTTCTCTGTTCGTGTTCGGCTGTTGTTAATTGCTGTCTCCTTGTTCTTCCTTTCTTTGATCTTGTCCAGAGTTTCTATGGAGATCCATTCCTTATGAGGGTGCTTCTTTAGACCCAGAACCTCTTGACACGTTGAAGTTAATGCTTCCTTGATGCCTTTCTAGTTGTCCTCCATACTAGTTTCTTCTTTCAGTAGATCTTATAAGGCTTGGAATCTGTTGTTGAGAGCTATCTTGAATTTATTAAGTCTGTCACCTTCTAACTCCCAATGCAGAGTTAAAATGGTTTGGATTATCTTTTCTGGTAAGCGTTTTTTTAGCGAGTTAGTTTTCTACGGGATGGGGATGCTAACCCCATGCCCAACCCTCCTCATTTACCCGGGCTTGGGACCGGCAGTAACCCTATAAAAGCTACAGGCGGAGTTCGTATTCGATGCCCTGCATGGATTGTCTCATCCAGGTATCGCAGCACGATACGTCTGACCGTCCATGAATAAAGATGTTCGTTTGTGGGCGAAGCAATGGTTACAGTGTCAACGACCAAAAGTGCACAGGCACGTGGCCGTCCCCCTTGGTACTTCCGCTACGGCTGATGCTCGCTTCGATCACGTTTACTTAGACATTGTGGGACCACTGCCACCATCGCATGGGTATGATCACATACTCACGTTCATCAACCGTTTCACCAGATGGCCCGAAGCTATACTCATCACGTCTATCACGGCGGAGGTAGTTGCACACCGCTACATAGAACGATGAATAGCTCTATGTGGTTGTCCCTCGACGGTCACGACTGACCCAGGACAACGATTTGAGTCCTCATTATTCTCCTCACTTACTCGACTGCTTGGTACGGAACGCATACGCTCTACCGCCTACCATCCAGCTTCTAACGGTTTAGTTGAAAGGTTTCCACGCCAACTTAAAAGTGCTCTTCAGGCACGCGATAAGGACAATTGGTACGAAACCTTACCGCTCATCCTCTTAGGTATTCGAATGAGCTTGAAGGCAGATATCCAATTTTCCACGCTGAACTTGTATACGGCACGACATCGCGTCTGCTCGGGGAATTCTTCACACCACGGAGCAGACCTGATTTCGGCAAATCAGACTACGTCCAACGACTGTCTGCATTTATGCGAACGCTGCCTCCGGTGTCAACTCGAATACAACATCGACAGATTGCCCTCCCTCGAGAGTGATCTGCCTGTTCACATGTCTTCATACAAGTAGATTCGGTACGCAAACCTTTGCAACAGCCTTACGAAGTCCCTTTCACGTGATCGCTCGCCACGAAAAGACCTTGGAGGTTGATCGACATGGCCGCGTTGAAATCGTCAGCATTGATCGTCTCAAACCGACAAACGTCGATGACAGTGGCCTATCTGATAACTTGAGATTCAAGGCTAGACCTATACAACCTACTAGCGGGATCCTTAAATCTTCTTCAGATCCCATGCTAGATACACCTAAGACCTCAATCTCACGTCCCAGTCCACAGCACGCGTCATCTGCATCATCTGCGGACGAGACGAGAGTCTCACGTCCAGATCAGCAGACCACGCCGCCCTTGACTTCGGATGGGATTGCAGGCTTACGCGATACGAACGAGACTACCGTCTCACGTTCCGGTCGCCGAGTACGGTTGCCCATACGCTTCCGCGACTAGCCGCACAGTTAACAACCGATACGGTGTAGGACTGTTCCTATACTACATGCATGCTACACTCTTCTCTTTTTTGATCTTTTTCTGTATCCTGAGCCCACGCCTCCGACCATCTCCGTTTGGTACCGTCGACTTCAGTCAACTTTGGCGAAAGCTGGACTGGCCACCCACGCTCTTGTCAACGCACTCAGTCGATATTTTGGTTTCGAATGCATGGCACACGCTTGATTTCGAACTTTTTCGTTATGGTCGCTTCTGGTTCCTCGGCCTAACGTGGTTCCGTCCTACGTCTGCAGCGTTTCTGGTCCGCATCACTACGAACGCAATCTTCAGTTTCTAGATACAAACCACTCTGGTGTAGTATGCCAACTCAAGCAACAAATACAGCACACCGCCCTAGTACCGTTCTCCGAAAAAGAACTTCGTTGGCAACTCGACGATCAACGATCGCTTTCCTGCTCCACCAATTCTTCCGTCTTACAATCGCTCTTCAGCCGATCAGTCCCACGATTCAAGCCGCTTTTTATCGAAAGTGTAAACCCTTTTTAGCGGGGGGCTCCTGTAGTGACTCATTTTATCACGAGAAAACGATTGGTTTATTGAAAACAATAATTATTATACCCAACTGTACCAGTGCTTGTTTTAACGTGCTTTTGTTTAACTGTGCTAATTACAGCCATTTTGTACTTCCAATACTTTCCATCATTGTTCCGTGGTTTTTGGCTTTGCTCTCACGTACTCCGCTTTCCTGCTCTCGCTTGTACCATTTCTTGGCACGATCTTGGTATTCGTTCGAATTATTATTTCTGGTCAGCGTTGTTTTAGCGATTCAGTTTTCTACGGGATGAGGTCGCTAACTCCATACCCAACTCTCCTTTTTTATCCGGGCTAGAGACCGGCAGTACCCCAGAGGTGCTCCGCATGGAGTTATTAAATGAGATATGAGTAAATTTCACTATTAAAACAAGGACTACTTGTAAACAAGTTGATTTATGGAGTCACTTACCAATGCAGCTATGAAATGCAGATATTGATTTACTCAGGATCAGATCACTTAAGCAAAGGCAACATTATGAGTTTACATGGAATATTACTTATGAATAGTTCATTATTCTACAAAATTAAATAGAGATGTAAAAACCTTTATTTCTCTATTTAACTGTTATCACGCTCTCTTCGTTTCTTCAACATATTGATGGTGAGTGTCCGCACGCAAGACTGATAGGTCCTGGGTTCGAACCCCGCGAGGCGGAATCATAGACGTGCACTTTTGAGGAGTCCAACAGTAATACAAAACAACCATCCAGTGCTTCCAGGTTTTCCATGTTGGTCTAGTTTTGAATTGACTCACGATCTCAATTATTAAATTACTAAGATCTCCACCAAACTCCCTTTTGATATTTGTTAGGTCCCGACAAGAATAATGGATGGTAAGTTTTGGGATCCATTTATGGACCAATACTAAACGTATGTTTTTATCGTATAATTGTTAAGTAACTAAACTATTCATGTTCGTGTTCCTCATATTTTGAGCATTATTTTGGCCTATGAACTATTGTTACATGATTTACCATTCTTGAATTATGCTCTGTCTATTATTTACTACCTCCCACATTCACAGCCACTTTTGGTTAAATCTTGTAAAAATGTTAGTTCCTATTTTATGGTACGATGTGGTCTATCTGGTTGGTATATAAACTCAGTATGTTTGAAATATAATGATTCATACTTCAGAGTCTGAGATTGGTGTTCTGAACTTAACTCGCTGGGCTAGGCGGATAGCAGTACCAATAAGGACTCTAGACTACTCGTACGGGTTTGATGCCTCACTGGTCCGATCGATAGTTCACTACTCCCTAGTTGGCGGTATCGTTATCTTATACAATAAATAGGGCACACAGGTCATAAGTGATAACAATATTATCTAATTTTTCATTTCAAAATATACATTTATTTTCTCTAACAAATCCTTGTTGGGAGGCAAAATTTGACTCACACGTCCGCGTCGTGCCTCCTGGATAATGAGACGAATGACTCATGAAATAACGTGAGCGGTAACCCGGGTTGTGGAGATCGGGCTAATCACCCACTTTTACCTATACCCATCAATCGATTACGAACTCCACAGATAAACATATCACAACTACATTTGGAATGGAAAAAGACAAAGATACTTTCTCGAAAGTGGTGCATGTATCATATGAAGTTGCTCGTCGTTGAGCAAACTCCAAAGGATTGCAGAAACAACCATTCAAGTCCCGATAGTTGTGCCGTTCTTCGATGTAACCCACAGAGAAACACAGCACGATTACATTTGAAATGGAAAGTGACAAAATTTTCGAAAGTGGTGCATGTATCATATGAAGTTGCTTGTCATTGGGCAAACTCCAAAGGATTGCAGAAACAAATATTCTAGCCCTGGTAGTTGTGCCTTGCTTTGATGTGGCCTGTTCCTCTCCAGAAGGGCCTATTAGGCTTCATCAACTTGTTTGGCTGGAAGGGGGGGGTAAACAAATCCCTGTTGGTTATACGCTAATCAATCATATAAATCATTTCAATATTACACCATATGATTGATATGAATGTGTTACCAAAGAAATAGAATAAGAAAACAAAAACAAATCTTCATCATAATTAAACTTTTTATTATATCATACAAGAAAGTTTCTCTACATAGATGTTACGTTTAAAAACAACCAAAGAATAAAGAAAACGAAACAAAACATTTCAAATGGAGTATAATTGTACATGTAACATCTTTGGTACAATCAATAATCAATGAAACTATAATTTATGAACAACCTTTAAATGATGCCAAACTAACCTTGAGAAAGGTTCCACCAAATCAAGGTCACAAATTCATGTGAACAATTCGAATTCTGATTTACATTTAATCATTAAGGTTTTAGAATTAACTAATATCAGTTATAATGATGTCAAAACTTTATTTCGTCAAATGGATAAATGAATAATTTCGCGCTTAAATTCAAAACCTTTTATCTTATACCTGATTGGTTCGTTCATAAAGGATAGACTCACCTCACTAATGATATATATATAGATAGATATAAGTATCATTTAAGTAGTATATGAAAACATGAATACAAAATGAATTCTATCAACAAAAAAAACATCATTTATATATCTCTGTATAAAATGTATTCAATAAACAAATTACAACTGTACTATTCTATGTACAGATCAAGTTTAACATAAAAAAAACAAACAAATAACAATCCAAAATGATCAAATGACATTGAATTGTTTTTGTATTTGATCTAAATTGAATTCACATTCATTAACTTTTTCAATAAAATAATTTCTATTTTTAATTATATTTAATAAATCCGCTTGTACATAATAAATATTTTCCCATTTCATAGCTTCTTTATTATCAAGATGATGATAATGATTAGATTCTGAAGAGGTTATGTCATCATCATCATTATTATTACAATTACCATTACCATTACTACTACTACTACTACTACTACTACTACTACTACTACTAGTAGTAGTAGTAGTATTAAGTTGATATAAATCAATGACATTAGAACCATCTTCTTCAAATCGTATATTATCATCAAATAATATATGTTGAATATATGGATCATATGGATTAAACCATAAAGGTTTCGATGATTTATAATGATAATTATGTGATTTCCAATAATTGAAATCATCTATTACATGCAGTACACCAATTTGTTTGGACCATATTTGATAAATTTCATTAGGATTATTTGATATATTGATAAATTGTTTATCAGGATCTAATAGATCTTTATGTGGAATTTCTTTAATAAATTGAAATAATGGTTCATGATCAGAACGTTTTAAATACCATTTAGTATAATCAATTGGTATATATTGTTTAGCATTCAATGGTGCTTTCTCTTGTGAATGTTTACCATGAATATAAGCTTCAATAGCTGATAAAATATGTTCACCATCTTTACCATAGGTACGTATAAATATAGCAAATTGACGATTTGTTTCAATAAGCCATGTTAATAAACGATAAAAAGCTGGCATTAAATAATGATAATAATGATTATCTTCATTCTTATTTATATGATCATTATTATTATTATTATTGTTGTTGTTGTTGCCATGGTGATTATTAATATTTCCACTATTTACACATAAACAATATGGTGAATTAATAGATTCAATTGGTGTTAATTTTAACATTTCTAAATATTCATTAAATAAATTACGATATGGTAAACCTTCTGGTGTTTGAGTAAAATTACCTAAATATCTTCTTATTCTACCTCTATCGGATGTTATTTTAACAATTTGTTTCTCTAATAATTTATATATACTTATTGCATTTGGTTGAGGTTGTTTAATACATAATGGTATTGGTAAACGATTCCAACATGCTAATGTTGATTTAAAATTAGCTAATTCATTTGATGTTAAATTTTCAAAATTTTCACCTTCATATGGTTGACGAGTATCCATTGGAGTTGTGATTGTTGTTGTTGTGGGGGTGGTTATTGTTGTTTTACAAGAGTTAAATTCATGATCTAATTTTTTTTTTGAAATAAAAAAGAAGAGAAAGTTATTGATTAAAGAAATGGAAATGGATCGTGAATGTGCACTGATGAGGAGTCTCATATTAGGACGAAACAGTTGTCCAGTACTTTCAGGTTTTTAATGGTGGTCTGACATCAATCGGTTGATGATCTCAATAAAAAAACGAAATAATCTTCACATTCCCTATATTGATAATATTTGTTAGCAAAAAAATACTGATTTTGTGTTATAAACTATGGGTTCCTGCCCCTCTCAATGTTCAGCGTAGTAATACCGCCAATTAGGAAACAGTGAATTATTGACCGGACCACTGACGCATAAAACAAGTATGAGCTGTATAAAGTCTTTATTGGTCTTACTTCCCATCTAGCCCTGCTTGTTAGAGTGCAGAACACCAATCACAGCTTCCATGATATGAACTATGTATTTCAAACATATTGAGTTTATATACCAAGCAAAACAGACCACATAGTACCATAAAATAGGAACACAACCTTTGTACAAGATTTAGCCAGAAGTGGCTGTGAATGTGGGAGGTAGTAATTGATATTTTGAAATACTAGCTAAGTGGATAATGCGATAGCGTTTGAAGCGAACGATACTGGGATCGAGTCCTAAAGTGAGTATCGAATCTGAGATACAGGTACATTCAGCTGACGAGCCTCAAATAAGATGAAACGCATGCACTGGATTCTATTGCTAGCCAATATCTATCTTTGCTTATGAAATAACTGTTTACTGAAAAATTTGTCTTTACTGGCAATGGTTCAGTTTTATAAGTGTAAAATGTAATTGTTAAAAAGTAAATGAATATCTAATTACTTATTGTAGAATGTGAATCTAATTAGAAACATAGTACTCAAATTTCTTGATTAAGCATTGAATGAGCTATTTATACAACAATTATGGTATAGATTCACAAAAGCTATAGTATTAACCTTATTCAGAATGTTAATTAAAGTCTGTCATTTACGAATACAAATCCAAGTGATGTGTACCAGAAAATCAAAATGAACAGGTGAACTGATCAAAATCTCTCTCTCTTTGTAATGCGTCAATCATTAATAAATGTAACCATTGAAATATGTAATTTCATCATAACAGATTACAATGAACACATTGACATGTTATTTAAAAACAAGTATGGAGCTGCACATACTAAAATGACCCTAAAGAACTTAAAATAACATTGACTTGTCATTTGAACACTTCTCTTGAAACATTATTTTGATAATCAGAGAGAAATTTGTGAATATTATAATAATTTTAATGGTGAAATTCATGATTCAGTTGATGATAAACTACCATAGAAAAGCTAGAAGCACTGGACGATCGTTTCATCTTAATGTAGGATGCCTCAGAAGTGAGCATCTAAGATCCCGCCTAGCGAGTTCGACCGGGTCTGTTGTAAGATGGTAACTCACTGAAGACAATAATGGATGTGTAGCTCAATTTTGTGGATCGATTGAAATTAGACACTAACACCGCTGGATGCCGGCTCAGTGGTCTTGAGGTTAAGCGTTCGCACGTGATACCGATACATTCTGGGTTCGGATCCCGCACACATGATCGTGGATTTGCACTACTGTGGAGTCCCATACTAGGACGAGACGTTCATCCAATTATTTCGAGTCTTCAATGGTAATATAGCTTCAACTGACTCATGAATTCAACTATTAAAATTATTTTAATAATTTGAAGCAGTTTGTAGAAATTGGACGAATAAATTAGGTAAGAAAGATAATTATTTCATTTATTTGTTAGCTTATACTTAATTATACATAAGTAGTAAGTCAGTTATTATGTAAATTTTCAACCTCTTTGTCTCACCCATATACATATATCGTGGATGTACAATGCTAAAGAGTCTCATATTAGGACGAAACGGAGGTCCAGTGACTCCAGGCTTTCAATGTTGCTCTAACATCAATCGGTTCATGATCTCAATCAAAAACTTATTGATCTCCACAACCCTATATATATATATATATATATATATATATATATATATATATATATATATGATTACTCATGAAACTTGATGATTTCACCTTATAGTACAGTTTTTAGTGATGAGTACACAATAAACCACGAGATAAGTACTTATTCATTATGTATCTATATGTAGGCATGATTAGTATATTCGGTGTGTTTGTTTTAAAAGTAACTTATTCCATGAAAATAATGAAGTAAGTAACAATACTTCACCTACACAGAATTCCGTCCTAATCAAAGTAAACAACATATTTTTCTTTATACTATGTATCATTAATTAACTAAGCATGTATATAAATGAGCATGACCTTCTTCATTATTGTATACAGAGTGTAACTGATAAATCATATTGCATTACTTATTTATGTGCGTGTGTATATGTAGGTCTGTGTGTGTGTGTGTTGATCTTGTTTGATACAAATGGTGTAATGAGTAAAAGAGTGATTAATTAAAATATTTATACAAGATTAAGATACATAAAGTAGAATGTACATCATTCTAGCCTTAAATTCTTCTACTGTACTGTTCACACCGTTTTCTTCTTCTTCTTCGTTCTATTCAATCTTCTGTTGTTGTTGGTGGTGGTCAGTTTTAATTATCATGATAGTTTTTAATGCTAGTTCATTGGAAGAAGACTAGTTTTACATAATTTCCTTGTTAGATAGCATTCGTAAGTATGTTACACCGTCTTGAAGTCTAAGACATTACTAATATATAACTTAGACACCTCTGTTGCAATCATACAGTACTAAGTTATCCGTAAATGATCAATTACTAAGTAATGGGTAATATTTTGCTTAAAGTAATTAGTCCTTTTGATAAATTTCGTTAGTGTAATATAAGAAGATAAAGATTATGAGAACTATGTGATGACATATATATTAGCGAAATACATCTAACAACAAAGGCGTATACTAAGGTTTATTGAAACTTCAATGGTTAATATCATGAGTCAATTGAAGCTAGACCATCATGAAGACCTTGAAGCACTGAACGGCCGTTTAGTCCTATTGTAGGACTCCTCAGCAGTGCGCGTCCATGATCCCGTCCCTGCGAGATTCGAACACAAGACCTACTTGCATCACGCGCGAGCACTTAATCACTATACCACTGAGCCGGCATACAACGGTGTTAATGTCTAACTTCAATTAATCCACGAAATTCAGCTACACATCCAACATTGTCTTCAGTGAGTTATTATCTCACAACAGACCTGGTTGAACTCCACTAGTCACTACTCTTCATTAGAAACCTCACTTGAAACCTTAGTCATATGATAAATCAAACCCCCTTTGTGTATTCAAAAAAAGTTTGTTCTCATCTTAAATCTACCCCAGTGATGTTAGCTTATTTTTATTCAGAGTGATGAAGTTTCAGATTGTTTTCATATTATAAGTATGGAATTGTGAACAATATTAAGTTTTTGATTGAGATCATGAATCGATTAATGTTAGACCATCATTGAAAACCTGAAAGCATTGGACGGCCAACACTTCCTATTGTAGGACTCATCAGAAGTGCGCATCTACGATTTCATTCGCAGAATTCGAACCCAGGGCCTTTATATTGTTTCTTTATTATCCTTGTCTTGTCTTACCCTCCATTTCCAGTCTGGCTAGCCTTTTATTTCTTATATATAAATGTTCCTAATAAGTATATGTGTACATTACCACCATTGAAATAACTATTCCTATGAATTTGATGTTGGTCTTGTTGTGCTAATGAGGTATGACAACTTGAACCTATGTACATATGTGCCTGGTCCCGACCGAAGCTGCTACCTTGACGCGTTGGTCGGGCTTGCCTATCGTGATGACTCAACCGAGCTATATTGGCTGGAACATATGTTCCTGTAGGTTCTACCATGCCAGGCAGGTCGATTGGAGAACGGTAAGACTAAAAGCAGCAACTCAAGGTCTGAGGGCGAAGACGTACTGCTGACTGTAAAGGCGTGTGACAGCAGTAAGGTGTTTCCCTCGAACAACCAGCATCTGCAGCGATGCTGCCTTCTCACAAGGAGGAGTGGGGTTAGAAAAGGTCGACCCTAAAAATGTCACACCTCACCTTAACTCACGGATTTCAATCTTCGGCGGTAAGGCCCTTAGAAGAACGGAGCTAACACATTAAAAACCTTTCACGAAAAGGCCGTGCGCGACCGGCCTCAAGCAGTTGTCCCTTGGGCTCTGCGGTCACGCTTCCAGGTCTTTAAGACCAACAATAATCCAATTTCCTTTTCAGGTTCCTCAAGAAATACCTTTCCACGGTGTGGGCAGCCGGGAAGTGATATCAACCCGCATACCCGTAACAGCGCACGAGACCAAGTTGGTCATATTCAAATCCTTACTACACCTCCTAATACCTCTCTTATCTCCATGACTAACCCTCCTCACGTCTCTTTATCATCTCGCACTGCTAGGGCAAATGATTGGAGTACGCGGAACGCTATTCCTGGTCTCCCGGTCTCTAAACTACACGTAGGAGCTTTTAACGTCCGAACACTGTGCCAAATAGGACAACAGGCTTCCTTAGCTAGGACTTTAGAATCCCGTGCAATCGATGTGTGCTGCGTCTCCGAAACGCGCATACAGGATCCGAGTAGCGTCATTCATTTGACCTCACCATGCCAAAATAAAGAACCGACTTGATTCACACTTCGTGTATCTGGAAGCCCTGATTCTGCTTCCCGTGGCCTCGCCGGCTTAGGTATAGCATTGAGTCCTAGGGCAGAACTAGCTCTCTTAGAGTGGATCCCAGTAGACAGTCGTTTGTGCGCTGTCCGACTAAACGGAACAGTAAGGATCCGGAAAGATAGGGACACTCGTCGTTGCCTATTCGTCGTCTCTGCCTATTCTCCCACTGACTGCAGCTCAGAGGATGTAAAAGATGAGTTTTACAGAAAGCTTTCCGACCTCCTCCGAAAAGCTAGGCTCTCTGAAGTAGTAATAATGGCTGGTGACTTTAATGCTCAAGTGGGTAAACTAAGCGAAAGCGTAAG